ATCTCCCTTGATCCATTCTCAGTGGGCTGTCAGAGAGAAAGTGGCTTAAATTTTGTACATTTCTACAGTTTCTAAAGTCCCTCTTGTTAAATTCTAGTTTTCTTCCACTGTGGCCAGAGAAGACATACTATATTTCAAATTTTTTAATTGGTTTCAACTTGTTTTGCGGTCCTCTCTTTGGTCTATCCAGAACATTCCATGTTCTCATGACAGACAAGGACTCTGCAACTTTTGGAATAAAGGTTATGTAAATGTCTGTCAGGTTAATTTGGGCTATAGTATATTTTAATTTTGATTTTTTTTTTGTAGATTTTTCGTCAAAATGGTCTGAAGGAAAGTATTAAAGTCCCCAACTCTTATTGTTCTACAGTCTATCTCTCCTTTTAGATCTAATAAATTTTGCTTTATAGTATTAGATACATATATATAGTTAGGACTATTATTTCCTCCTATTAAATTGATACTTGTATCCTTATATAGTTACCATTTTTGTTTCTTTTCATAGTTTTTTATGTAAATTTTATGTTACCTAATATAACTATAACTACTCCTATGCATGTTGGGTTTTATTTGAAACACACATCTTTTTCTACCCCTTCATTTGTGTCGTTTTCTACTTATGAAGTAAGTTTCTTATGGATAACACATAATTGGGTTTAGATTTTGTTTCTTTGTTTGGCTTGGCTTCATTTTAGTTTTGGTTTTAATCTATTCTTCTAGTCTACATCTTCCATTTCATTTGATTTAATTCATTTACATTCCAGGTTATTGTTGATACATGAAGAAGCTCCTGTCATTTTATAATTCTTTCTGGTTGTTTTGAATAACCTTAAGTCTTCCTTTCTCTTTAATTCATCTTTCTGATTTTGGTAGTTTTTTTTTTTATATTGATTCTATCTGATTCTCTTTCTCTTTTGTGTATCTGGTCAAATGTGTGGTTTTGTATTTTCACTTTTTTTATGGTAGTTTTAATACCTTGCTTTCTTAAGCATTTCTTGTAAAGAAGAAATTTTATGAAGAGAAGGCTGATGTTCTAATAGAGAATTCTTTCCAAGTTATTTAAGAATTTTCTGTTGCTAACTAGAATTCTGTCTTATACTTCTGACTGTTTTAATTATAATATGCTTTTAAAAGAATCTTTGTTGGTCAAATACATTGTGTATCCTTTGAATTTCCTAGTCTGGATATTCCTGCCTTTCTCAAGATTTAGAACATTTTTGCAGTTATTTGATTGAAGAGGTTTCTATGCTTTTTCCATTCTCTTTTCATTCTAGAACTATTGTCACATAAACATTCATTTGCTTAATGATGTCTTATATGTCTTTTAGAATTCCTTCAATCTTACTTATTTTATTTGCCTGAGTTATTTCAAAAGACTTGTCTTGAAGCTCAGAAATTATTTCCTCTCCCTGATCAATTATGCTATTAAAGCTTCCAAACTTATTTTTAAATTACATTTATTGATTTCTTTAGGGCCAATATTCCGATGGCTCTTTTTAAACCTTATACTTTTTGGTACATTCTTCACTCATCATAAAATGTCTTTGTAAAGTATAACAATAGCTATACTATCAAACTAGATTTCAAATTTCATCTCCCAAGGAAAGAGCTAAATTAATATGCAAAAAAAATCTCCTATGTACCTGTAATGTCAATTACTACTAACTTCATAATATGTTAATTGCATTTAAATTCCCCAGCATACAAACATTCTAAAATACAAAGTTTAAGAAGAAAACCATCTTACCATACTATTTCCCTAAAACCATAAGTTTTGTAATAATAGACTTTTTTAAACCAACTTCTGGAATGCTATTTTTCATGACAACAAGGAACAAAAAGATCATTTCAAAGTTACTTCCCTTATAAACATTCTTATATCACCAACTCTGTTTGACTTGTCCCATTCTTATTGGTTTCTATGAATCATCTGATTTGAGGGAATTTGCCCCATTTTGAATTTCAGTGGAATATATAGCATGTGTCATGAGTGTTTCTATTCTAGTATGGTCTGATCTTTTCCAACCTAGGGAAGAGCTCAGTCCAAACAACAGCTTCTCATAAATTTTATTTAGAACTATCAAATAACTTTCTAATTTTTCATTTGACTTCTGGCTACATTGATTCCAGAGGTGAGAAAGTTTTCATGAATAGCAACCACCACTGACCTAGTCTAGAAAACAATATCTCATTGTATATTCATAAATTGTTAATCCAGTTATCTACTTCAACCTTTCCTGAGTTTGATTGATGTAAGTTTTCTCAAGTCCAGTGAACACCAGATACTAAGAGATTAAAAAGCTGTCTGAACCAAAGGGGTGGGGCAAAAATTCTCAAAGCAAAAAGTCTCAAATAATATACAACACATTTTATAACAAGAACTTAAGAGCTGTGTCATAAAATGAGTAGTTGGCAATAATTCTGAAAGCAAAATAAACTGTAAATACTTTTAAAATGAGAAAGTAAACACTATACCCCCAAATGAAAAGTATAGAAAACAGTACCTTCAGAAAGGGTTGTTACAAAACAGACCTAGAGATCTCATTGGTTTGGTTCTTGCTGATTGGAAATTTATTGAATTTAAGAAAAATGGTCTTGAGACCTAAACCAGACTGAATCCATTTTAGTGTGCTTTTCAAGATTGAGAACTATCTCCCAAATCCTTGGGAATTCAAGTGCAGCACTAATTCAATAAGAATTTTCAAGAGTCAATATCAACTACTTAACATGGTGATAGCAGCAAAGCCATTACAGTTGGCTCCACTTCCTTTACTCAGAAGTATTGCTTTGCTATTAGGCTATGGCTTTAGGGAATATTTAGATCTTTCCCCCCTAAGCATTCCTCATAATTTATTCTATCTGGAAGATTTGCATCAAACATAATTTAAAATCTGCAGGCTTTATTCTCTCCTGGTGCAGAAGCGTAACTCCCATTTGCACTAATGAAAGCTATCTGTACATCTCAAGCAGTGTACCTCTCCTAAGTGTTTAAGAACAAAAATGTTTTATGTCTTGTGAGGGAAGCAGTGTTAGAAAAAATCTGGATACAATTTAACAAGGTTGAAATGCAAAGTGTAGGTTGTTTTCCAGATGGTGGACTTCTTTGAGAGTATGTCAGGTTTCTGTGAAAAACAAGCAATGCTCTCACAGATTCACTGAAAGAGAAGGATTCCCCACTTTGAACACACACAAAGAAGAAATACTACTATATTGTAAAACAAGGTAAAAATCTGGGATGGTTCTTCTTGCCTTTTTGTGGGGAGAGAGAAGGTTGTGCTGCAAGGGCTTGCAGCTTGGTCTACAATGTACGTCTTTTGTTTAAATTCAGAAGCTCATCAATTCCATTGCCTCCTTTATCCTGACTATTAGCAGGTTAGAACCCTTTTTTGTAAGTTCATGACTAAAAGCTGGTCATGACCCTTTCACTCAACTGCTGTGTTTACTGCTTTTCTGGCCAGTGTGCTGCTGGCTTTCTCCATAGAGTGTCTCCAAATCAAACTTAAAGCAGCCTGCAGTCATTGATTCCCCATTGCATCAGCTTGGAACTCAACTCCTGCAGATTCCCCTGGTCAGCCTGTGAGCTCATTTGGAATGTAGAAACCTCTGGACTGCTGCAAAAGCAAATCTGTTAAGTCCCCATAGCCACCCCTTAAGGAAACAAAGGCGATTCTTAATGCTTCCTGAAAACAGAAATAATCCTGAGGAAGATTAAAGGATTTTTTCATATGTTGGAATCAGTGGCTGTTTCAAAAACTGGGATTGTCTCCAAGTGTTGATGTGGGGGAAATTTTGGCTCTCACAACATTATCACTAAGAATGTACGCTACAAAAAACATTGATATGAAGCAGTGTCACTGCTGATTAAACACTATTAGCATATTCATTTGGAAACATAAATGTAAACACAGATTTCCAATGTTTACGTCGTGCACAATTGCAATATTTATCTTTGTGCAGGAAGTGAGTAAATAGACTCAGAGAGAAGAAAAGCTAGCATGCACATCAAAGGGCATGTAAATCCTTAGAGTGGCTTAGGAGGTCTTATTTATCTTTTCTCAAAAAGCTAGTTAAGTTCTTTTTACTATTTTTTCTTTTAAGCTTGTAGCTATTATTCACTTTGATCTTGCCAAGTGGAATGTGGCTAAAAGCATAAGTTTAATGAAAATGTGTACGGGCGTACATGCACACACATTTAAGCAATGTTATGGTTTGCTCTTAGATGCAAGGTACTTTGAGAATTCAAGCACTTACATATTTTAACTCCATATTGTGTTCACGAACTTGGAATCTGAGTAACTTTGAGAAGGGAAATAAAAATACCCTTATGGCAGTAAAAACCCACAAGCACGTGGATACAGTTATTTTTGTTCAGAATTTTTTTCAGTAGCTTTTCACTTCATATATTTTTAGGATTCTAGAAACTCAATATATGTGGTGTCTTCTTTGCTTTCTCTGTAATGACTCTACTGAAACTTCAGAATCCAGGTATAGCCCACCATTCTGCAACTATTCAGACCTTACTATAGATATTTGGTACCTTTGTCTCTACCTGACTTTCCTTGTGATACATAATAAATACACTCATCTTGGGATATCTGTACGTGTACATATTGCATCTTGATCTTTTTATTCCCTAATTTTCTAATTCTTGCAATAGAAAATTTCATTTCATGTGAAAGTTTGCATAAAACCAATACTCAAAGGAGCCAAAACCAGAAGGACTGAAATTGAAGCAACAAACATGACACTTCTTATCTACCACCTTCTCCGTCATCCACCGTTTCACCTTCATCTGTTCCACCACGTCCTCTGGTGTCTTTGTAATACCGTGATACACGCACATACACACTAGGACACATGAAAATACTGTACACTAAATATTTTAATTTAAGACAATTTTACAGGAAAGAACAAATTTTCATTAGTTCCCCCTCAGAAGACTCCCCCCGATTTGAATACATTTATCTCATTGTTCTTGCAAATATCTTTCCTTTTTTAAAAAAAATATGGACTGCTTCACGAATTTGCATGTCATCCTTGCACAGGGGTCATGCTAATCTCTGTATTTTTCCAATTTTAGTATAGGTGCTGCAAAGCAAACACTGTTCTTGCCAATTTCTGAAGCAGTTCTAGAAGTCCTCTTTCATGTCTGTAGTTGTGCCGCCATGGATTCCTTGAAGTCCCAAATTGATTGAAAACATTTACTTTCATGGTCATTATGCCTTTAAGGAAGAACCAGAAGTCACATAGTGTCATGTCCATTGAAAGGAGGATGAGAACACCTTGATGTTTTTATGAGTTTGCCTTTTTGTTGGATGGCACTGGGCATCAGTATTCACTATATTTTTTTGCCACACTTCTAAAAGACAGTCATGAAAAGGCAATGGATTTGTAATGAAGTCTTCATAAAGACCCAAAAGGATTGGGTATAGGGAGCTTCTGGATCATTAAGCCCCTAGAAATGCAGTAGACCTCAAGAGCTCAGAGGTCCTTGCCACATATCTTGATCCATCTTCTGCATTTCGCTACTTATCTGTCCCTTTTATAATAACATTTTAAAGAAATTGGAAAGCATATGTAAAGTATTTCTGTGAGTTGTGTGAGCCGCTCTCTAAAATCAACCAAACCCATCAAGAGGTTTGGGGGAAATGTCAATTTACAGTCTGTCAGTCAGAAGCATAGACCACAACTTGGAGCTTGTGATTGGAATCCAAAGTGAAGGGTAGCCTTGTGGGACTGAGCCTTCAACCTGTGCGAGGTGATGGCTGGGTGTGTAATCTCCAGGCACATAGTGTCAGGATTACATTGAGTAGGAAATATCCTCTACATATCTGGTATCAGAAAATAAATGTAGACAGAGAGAGAGAGAGAAACAGAGAGACTTCATTTTTCATGTTACAGAGTTAGTATGAGAGAGGAGAATGAAGAAAACACTGTTTTTTCCAATATATTTTATACTCTTCCATGAAACCTTAAAGATTCTGAGGAGCACTATTGGAAACCTGTGAAATACCTCATCTTTTCATGATTTATTTAGATTGAAATTATTGTATTCTAGTATATTTAGTACAAAAGTGATAGTCAAAATATATAGCATATATAATATGGGTATCAGCCAGTCAAAAGAGTCCACTTGAAAACCAACCAAAAACTTACATGTACATCAACCAGGTGAAAATCAGTGACAGGAGAGAGGCATGACATCTGGAATAGTTAACTGTGATGTTCACTAGAATGGATTAAGAAATGCCTAGTGCATTAGTGGAGCGCACTTCTGGTGCCAATGGATGATTGACATGCAGGCTGCAAAGTAAGGAGGGAAGTCTCTTCCTGAATGTGGCTTTTACCAACCAATAGACTTGTAGCCTGGATGGAATTAAAAGGGAAATAAGAAGAAAGTCTTCCCTTTTGCTTCTTGGGAGGAACACTGGTCTTCGTGGTCCCCTTTGGACATTTTTGTCCATTTCCTTCAGGCTTCCAGTGCAGACTATTCAGCCTTCAACTTTCTAATATAGACTTATGTAAGACTCTGGGGTGAACTCCAGGCCTTTGACTTTCCATGGGATACTCCAACACTCTACCATATATTCAACGAGTTTGCATTCTTCCACCCAGGTTCTTCAGGCAGCTATTATAAGCCTACTTAGTAAATTCTTTATATATCATCTATATATGTGTGTGTGTGTGTGTGTGTATTTCACATTAAATTTATTCCTCTAGTGAACACTAACTGATATAACATCTTAGAGTGTTTCATAACATGTTAGAGTCTTACAACCCTATTAAGAGAGGGAGTTATGTAACATCCTTGGGAAGAGAACCTTGATACTACAAGAAATGTGGGACTTATTTGATAATGACTTAGTGAACTTCAAATTCATATTATATCGTATGATACTATTAAACAATGGTAGAGTAAAATCATCTGCTTTATTGTACAGCAAATAATCATGCAGCACTGTGTGCATGTCAACTGTCCTACATGTTCCTTAGATATCATTTAACAACCACAGCTCTCTGGGAGGCACTTGGGGAATACCAGGCATAATTCTATGTCATTTCAACCAAGCACACCTGACTTGGTTGTTGCATTCTGCCACATTAAGCAAGGGCTGGGCTAAAATGAAGTAGACATTTGAATGTGTTATTGTTGTTCGTGGACTCTAGAGTGTGTGCTGCTGTTCACTATGTGTTGTCTTCTTTGTAGATTATAGCACTTCATCTTCCCAGTGAGTATCTCCTAGACACTTGGGATTTGAGTCTCAGTAATATCTTGTGAAAGCACAGGGATGAAAGAGCTGGGGGGCCGAATACTATGGTTAATTCTATGCGAAAACTTGATTGGGCCACAAGGTGCTCAGAAGTTTGGTCAAACATTATCCTGGATATGTCTGCAAGGGTGTTCAATGAAATTAACATGTGAATGAATACACTGAGGAAAGTAGATTTCCCTCCCCAGTGTGCACTGGGAGCACCCAATTCATTAAATGCCTGAATAAAACAACAAGCTGAGGAAGTTGAATGATTTCTCTCTTCCTGGATCTTTTCGGGCTGACACTGAGCCAGAACACTCACCTGCATTCAGACTCAGCCCTGAATGAATGCTATCAGTAGCCCTTGCTTTGGACTGCTCAACCTCTATCATCAAGTGAGACATTAATAATTATTAATATATTATTCTATATAATGTAAATGCCACATATATATCCTATTGATTCAGTTTCTCTGGAGTAGCCTGACAAAACCACGTATGAAATACTCTGATAAATACAATGTTACTTATAGTTGAATACATGATTTTTCAGCTAAACTGGGACTAGGACTCCAAGGAAGTATTCCCCTTTTGGTTTACTGGATCTCAGATACCCAGGATGTTTGTTTTGAGATATTTTATATGAAAACACTTAGTGTGAAGTTAAAGTCTTTTGTAAACACCATTATTTTACATGTCATGCATTTGAGAATTTCTGTTTTTTAAAAGATACTATTCCAATGAAGAATAAACCTTTCCAATGAAACTAAGTAAAAGTTCAAACTAGATAGCTTTTCTAGTATCATATAAGATGGTAAATTATCTATATAAAAGCCTACTAAATTTAATGTGACTGCTTTGATCAATTAGTTGAAGAATCATTAAATTTTCATTCTATTTTATGCTATATAAACAAAGCCTGAGTGGTAAGAAATGAAAGAGAATAATACTTTGTATTCATAGCTAAACTTTCTTTAAATCTTTCCTAGAAAAATGACTTAATTTCAAAATTTGGTTTGTTCAAAAAATCAGAGGACACTAGAAATTCTTGAAGTAATTTTAAAAATCTGTTTATGAATTCTTCAATATTCTTCTCTTCAAGAAGTAGAAACTAATTTTCTTCCCCTTGAATTTGGGGTAGAGTTGTCTAATGAATAGAATAGGTAAAGTAATTGTATATCATTTCCAAGATTAATTATAAAAAGCCTTTTAGAACTCAGTCTCTCTATCTCTATTTCTCTCTTACACACACACACACACACACACACACACACACACACACACACATACCACTTACTCCAAAAGAACCAACCTCCTATGTTCAAATTACCCTAGAGTAAAAAGCCCCCCATAGAAAGAAGAACCGCAGTCTCTTGACAGCTCCCTTATGTGAATGAGCTTGGAAGTGGACTCTGCAATCCCTTCAAAGGGGAACCGCCTGAGCTGACATCTTTTTCTTTTTTTTGAGACAGGGTCTCACTATGTAGTTGAGACTGATCTGGAACTCACTATGTAGCTCAGGCTGGTCTCAAACTCACAACGATCCTCCTGCCTCAGCCTCCCGAATGCTGGGATTACAGGCATGCGCCACCATGCCCTGCCCGAGCTGACATCTTGACTAGAAATACATGAGCTACAAAAATTAGTTGTGACACCTTCGGTGGTGGTGTTGTTTTGTTTTGGTTTCTGCTGTGTTTTAAGCACTTATTTTCTGGCCGTAAACTAAAACATGACTCAGGCTTATCTTGTATCCTTCCTGCTTCTCGCCTCCCCAAAGCAGAAGTTGTCTCTCCCAACACTCTAGTCCATTTAGAGCCCTTTATCCTCTATTTGCTCAGTACCAGAAAGTCAAGGAAGATTTGAAAACAGAAGCTACTGCTCTGTGTCAATTGTTAAAGTATATCAGGGTATGAATGGTCAGCAACAGAGTAAACATTCCAAGCTAGAACGAGTTAGTAGATTTTATCCAAACTCAATAAAAAGCCTATCAGATTCATCAGTATTCCTGAATTCTATAGTTTATCCACCTTATTTTATTGTGTTAATTTTATGTTGTTACCAATGATTTTTGTATTCTGATGATTTAAAAAAGAAATAAAACAAAAATATCTACAAAGAAGAGTTTTGCATTAAAAGCAACAGCATATTTGAGGGTGAAATGAGTATTCCTGAATTCTTTCATTCATTATCTCTTTGATATCTATTTTTCAATTAAAAAGAAAATATAAATACTATACAAGTTAAGTGTGGAAGTGTCAGAAAATAAGAAAATATATGTGTTAGCATGTTAAAGAAATACAAGAGCCAACTGAAAGTGTTTCCAATGGAAAAGCTAAAACATGTGAGCAAGGAAATAAATGATTGTGATTTCTTTCACAATAGCACCCAAAAATGAAATATCTAGGAATCACTCTAATGAAGGAGACAAAAGACCTCTACACTGAAAACCACAGCACTCTGAAAAAAGAGATCAAAGGGGATATAAGAAAGTAGAAAGATATCCCTTGCTCGTGGGTAGGAAGAATCAACATAGTGAAAATGGCCACACTTCCAAAACTGCTGTAGAGATTCAATGGAATCCATATTGCAATCCCAACAATGTTTTTCACAGAACTAGAGAAAACAATTCAAAAATTCATTTGGAATAAGAAGAGACCTAAAATAGCAAAAGCCATTCTAGTCAACAGAGAGACATGGCAGGGGGTATCGCAATCCCCAACTTGAAACTATACTACAAAGCTGCTGTGATTAAAAACAGCATGATACTGGCAAAGAAACAGACCCAAGGATCAATGGAATAGATTAGAAGATGGACAAACAACTCCAGATGTACTCAGCTACCTCATCTTTG